GTTTTAACCTTAAAGAAGAAAAGGCTAAATTTCTTTTCAAATATGTGGATGACAAAATAATGTATCGTTTTACAGAAAACAGATTAAAGAGATAGAAGAACCAATCAAAGAATGGCATGGATCGTGTAACAAGTCCTGTGGATGCTTTAACCTTGAAAACCACAAACAAACTCTGCAATAGCTTGTTGCTGCTGAAGCCCAGCTGAGGCCCTTTCAGTGCTAGAATCTTAGGGCAGTTTTGGCTACATATTTTCTCCAAAAGAACAAATACTGCTTTCTGACGTTAGGATCACACAAGAGATCTTAACTATTTGGTAGTTTGAAGACATAATCGTTGTTACATTAGTAAAAATGGAAAAGTGCACATTTCTTACAAAATCCTACAACTTGGAGAACGGCCAAGTACCTGCTGGCCGGGAGGGGAAGCTGATCTGACCGGCTCGCTTCCTCCCCTTGGCGTTGTTTTCTACAGAAATAGAGTCAAATGCCTCCCACAATGCCACTCCTCCACTGTCAGGCTGGAAGCCTCCTAGCGCAGAGCAGAAACGAGAATGATGTGCCCTTTGTTGATTTCCCCCTCAGCGTCCAATGGCCAGTGGCCAGGAGGCAGCCCTTGGCAACTAACAATGAAATCGGAAATGGGTTGTGGTAAATATTTCCCCTCAAGGCCCTTTCCCGACCACAGCGCCAGTCAGGTTCAAGATGGACACACTCAGATGACTAACGTGTGGCTTTCTGATGCTTTGAGCTTGTCTGAGGATGCTGGGGAAATAAATTATTGTTTTCCCCACATTTAAAAAATTGAGACCAAAACTGACAAGGTAAGCACCTTAAATATTTTTTAAAGCTCCATAAATTCGGATGGGCACAGTGGCTCACACCTGTGATCCCAGCACTTTTCAAGGCTATGGTGGGAGCATTGCTTGAGGCCAGGAGTTTGAGACCAGCCTGGGCAACAAAGTGAGACCCTCATCTTTACAAAAAATTTAAAAAAAATTAGCTGTGTGTGGGGGCATGTGCTTGTCGTCCCAGCTATGTGGTAGACTGAGGCTGGAAGACTGCTTGAGCCCAGCAGGTGGAGGCTGTAAAGAGCTATAATCGTGCCACTGACTCCAGCGTGGGCGACAGAATAAGACTCTATCTTAAAACAATCAAACAAACAAACAAACACAAGCAGCAATCCACAACCTTAACATCTCATAATATTTTATTTTTACAAACGTTCTTTACTGCCAGATATTAAATTGTGAACACAAAAAGATAATGAAACAGCTCAGTGTTGGGGAAATAATTGCATAAGCCAGGGCCATTCAAGATGTGATGAATATGGAATGTCCAAAAAAAGAGACAACATCAACTGTTCATTATGTGGTTGCAGTCCTCAGGTTTGTGCTGCTTGGAACCTGTAAGAGGGATCAGCACTAAAATTGTATAAAATTAATACAAATGTATAGAATCATCATCATTAAGCTTTTGCCTATCTTAAACTTTGTTTCACTATGCTGTTTATGACCATTAAATTACTAACATATTTACTGAAGCTACAAAACCTTCCCGAGAGGCTTCCCATTTTTGGACTTAGGTTGAACACTGTCACTTGCTTTGCATGTCTTTGTCCATCTGACGTGTTGCATCTTAGGGTAATATTCACTGCATAGGACATTTCTATATAATTTACCTCTTTCTGAGTCAATAGCCTCTTTGCCTTCTCAAACGCATCATTTTTTCTACTCACAGATGTTGGAATCTACTTAGTCTTCTAAAGTTTTGCATAATGCATATTAATACCATTGTCATCTGCACAATGAGAAAAGTAATTAACATCTTAGATATTAGTATACTTTATGAAGTAAGCATTTCTTGATCTTTTTTAGAGCAGTAGAGTATGTTTTCCTATGCCAAGCCTCCTACCTACATGTTTTACAGGTCTGTGAATAGCAAAAGTGAAGAAATGAGAAACAAGTTAATGAGCTTGCTTTCTTGCTGGCTGGCTGCCTGCGCTTTTAGCTGCTTCTCTGAAATTCTGATTGATCTAATCTGGTAATTTAACCTGCTTCATGGCAAGCTGGTATAAAATCTATAAAAACTGTTTATCAAAATTGTTAAAAATGGCGGAGGTGCTGGATTCACATGTTCTTTATAGCTCAAAGTTTTTAGAAAATCCTTCAACTGTCCTAAATCCCCACATAGAATAAAAACCCACCGAGCCTCCCTCCCTCTTCAGATTCTCCCTCAGCCTGAAAGGAACAGGAATTTCTGCCTCGAGACCAATTCTAGGTTCATTCCCATTTTCTCACCCAGCAGAGCACTGGCATCTTGGCTTTCTGATTAAACATCCCTGGCTGAAGACACAGGTTCCGTTTTTAGGTGGAGTACTTCTTTTTTCTTCTTGAATGCTTAGAAAGTGTGGTCAAGTTAGACTGGATTTTATCTTGAAAATGTCAACATAGATCAAACGAAAGATTGCATATGAAAATAGATTTATGATTTAGAGAGAAGAATAGGCTTGGCTTGGTGATTCTGTTGGAGGAATTCTTCTGATGTGAAGATTAAGAAGAGTGTTATAAGGCAAGATACTTAACGGAAGGACGAGAAGTAGATGGAGCAAAAGAAAAAAAATCTAAATCCCAGAGTTAAACGAAACAAAGTAGTGTTTATAAAAATCATATTTTCTTTGTATAAAATGTTATCATCTATAATTTATTAATCAATACAACTGTAGGAATCCTTGATGCTAAAAAAGATTAAAATTTTATTTTTCCTAAACAGATTTTTTGATTTATTAATGTTCTTTTCACACTATAGAGAATCTGAGTCTAAAGTTACGTAACTTTTAAAAACACATAGAGATCATAACGTAATGTGCCAACACACAGGGGCTCGGTTTCTTTAGGCCCTGGGCCTGTGTAGACACTAGAGGTCAGGTTCAGAGGGAGAGCTGGAGGAACACACATGTAACCACTTTCATTGTGAACCCCCAAATAAGGAGGCCTCCTGGGAAAAACAAATATGGGTTCTTTGAAAGAGTTCAAGCTTAATATATCTGCGCATATCACAGGATCAGAAAGTTTCTCTCATCTTAGTACAAAATCTGTAGGGCTGAGGCAGCTGGGGTGGGCTTTATGGGTTCTGAAACCACTCGTTCTTCCAGGTAATAGGATAAATGTGCAGAAAACGTGATGCCCTTCCTTCCACTGAACCATGTGACCTCACTGGTGTTATGTGATATTATACAACCAGGTTATTTTGGGCTCACTTACATATGTTTATTTTGATTACTTAGTTTTCCGTAGTAATTTCGTGATTATTTCTTAAGAGATCCAGAAATGTATTCTTCCTTCGTGCCCATGCTCTTCATAGCTCTGAACTGGTAGCCATTTTATTTTAGCTACAAGATGGATATTTCAATAATTTGAAATGAGTTAATGTGAGCCCAGATGCCAATCTGATCCAGCATTTTAAGTGCTCATAAAAATCCAAAACCCTGCAATAACATTAAATCCCCATATGCAGAGGAAAACAATTCACATTTTTGTGGCACTGGCAGTGAACCTGCAGACATTTCTGCCTGGATTGTCTGTTAAGCCTCCTACTATATGAATGTAGCTTTGGAAGAAAAGGGCTAAGTTAGGTTTAAAATGTCACATTCAAAACGTTGTGCATATAAGAAATATAACCCCAGAGCCAAAAATCACTAATGAAAAGAAATTACGCTGGTTGTGTAAACACTGTGTTCTTGAGGCAAGGAGGTGATTGTTTTTTACTGCAAAGGAAAAATCTATTCCATTAAGGGAGGGAGGGGAGGCCTCCTAGGAAAGAGCTGGGAGCGTCAAATCAGAGAGGCTGTGGGCGGTGGCCTGCACTAGCCGAGGGCGGCGCGGCTGGGCCCCGGAGGCAGGTGTGCTGCTGCTGGGTGAGGACCCGCTTCCCCGTCTCTACAGCTCTTCCGGTCTTTTCCCAGCAGGTTCTTTCCTCCATCACGTGGCAACGGGGACGCTGCTTCCTTTGGGCCTTTCCTGATCCTTCCATTGTGGGTCAGTCTTCGTTTTATGAGCTCCCTTAACGCTTCGTGCTGATCCCTGAGTTGCAATGGCAGCTGCAGGGATGTAGCCTGGGGCAGTGCCCAGGCTGTGCGGCTGCCCCCTGCACGGTGGCTCTGTTGCGCCCCGCCCGGGGCGCTTCCTGCACCGCCAGCCTGCTCAGGATGCACTTCTGCCAGCAGCTCACAAAGCATTTGGCAGCAGGGGATTGGCCTCCTGCACAGGAAGTATGTGGCTGATGACCGTCGTGAGCGTGTAAATAGCTCAGAATTTAGAATTAACATTCAGATTTGTTGAAAGTTGTTAAGAAAAACAAACTCAGAGTTCCCAGGGGTGGGTGCTCCAAGGAATAATAGAATGGAATCGAACAGTTCTAAGAAGCCTGCCAGTGACCTCCGGTGTGAAGCCACTACCTGCAGTCATAGGCCACCTCTTTCCTCAATTTTAAGACATAAAAATGCAGGTGACCCCTTGTGTAAGGTCAGTAGGTCACATCCACAGACCACCCCTCCTAAACCTTCCGATTCTAGATTGTCCTAGAAGAAAAAGTGAGTTAAGTGGAGCCCAGCCTTATTTCTGAGGCTCTGCAGGTTTCTTAAGCTTATACGGAAGCCACTTTTCCAACTACAGTGGGTGGTGTTAGGGACATGGGCACTCCTTGGGAGTCAACGAGGTAATATATGTGAATGGGCTTTGGATCCCTAGGAGACTAGAAGATATAAAAATCCAAGGTCTTACTGTAATTACTTGGCTTACAGTTAAACTGAGACTGTACAGCTGTCTCTTGGTATTCATTCTCAGGGAGTTCATATGCTGTCTCACTAAGGAAATGAGAAAAAGATAGGACACCCGGTCTGTGTTGCTGAGGAGTGATTTATAAAGAGTGCGCTGGACATGGTGAGAGCGCACCATTTAATACAAGTATTTTTCATTAAGGCTCAATTATTTTACATAATTCTATTTCTTGTTGAGGTCTGTGAATAGATACAGCTATTTTCTTTATAATCAGTGACCTGAAGTTGAAATGAGTGGAGTGGTTTTAGACGCAAGTGCATTAGTTTGTCCTTCCTCCATTTCATGCTTCTCTAAAAGCCAAAGTCCTTGAACAGATGTTCCTAAGATTTTTCCACAATGTAAATAAGTGACCCCTAGAGAAAGAGAAAAACCGTAGCATGGAAAGTTTTCAGGAAAAAATACTTTGTTTTTCAGAAATTATAAATGACAGTAAATGGAATAAATATGAATATGAGAATATTTATGAAATTTAAACTATAACATTCTTTTTCTAATAGTACCATCATTGTGTGGTTTTATCTTTTTATAGATATTTCTTTTGGAATTTTGGTCGTCAGAAACTAAAATTTGCTTTTCATTTGTTTTTGACTTGAAACTCTGCTTTATTTTGTATTAAAATATTTAAAAAATTCTCTTATTACTCTATTCCTGTTTCCATGACAACATAAGATGTTTTTTAAAAAAGCATCAGCATTTCTGAAAGTTGTATGGTATTTTCAATTGCATACCTAGGGAGCAATTATAATTATAGTTTCAAGCGATGGTTTGGAGCTTAAAGCATCTTAATATTTGCCAGTGGAATTTTAAATCTATTAATTCACTAAAAGACAGATTTTACTTTCTCAACCCTGAACATACCATTTTAAACTTTAGTCAAAACCATATATTCTCTAACCTGCCATTGAACTTTCTTAGGAGCAAGCATATTACCTGTGGAAAGATGATAGCTTGCGAAAGAATCTGAGGGAAGGGGAAATACGGAAAGGCAGGTACAGGGTGGCGAGGGAGCATCTGACTCGTTTGTAACTAAATAACTCATGAGTTGAACTAAGGCTGTCTGCCCCATCCCGCCACCACTGAACGCAAAGCTGTACGGAAACAAAGACGAGGTTTTAACTAAGGAACCGGGATTCAGAAAACAAGCTAGTCCAGAAAACAAGGGTCAGTGCCACTTCCCTGCTGTCTCTGCTCTGTTTTGCAATATGTGTGGCATCTATCTTCTGGGACAGTTATAAAATATGGGTTAAGGAGGTGAAGCTGCAGGGATGGTAGAGAAATAAAAAAGTGGCAGATATACAAGAAGGGAGGAACTAGTGCAAGTAAGAAAATGTGCAAACCCAATTTTATATTGAGCTGATTGCTCTGGGTCTCATTGACCTTGGCAGGACTCAGAGGGTCATATTTTATGTGGATGAAGCATCTTCAATTTCTCCTGCATCTCTGGAGCATGCAAATGTTCTTTTCCATCCCGAACCCCTACATTCTTTATATTCCTCAAAGTTCTTTTGTATTAATAGACGTTTCTTGACATCAAGACATGTTTCTTGATGGTTTTTGAATCTATCTTGACACGATCTTTTTTATTATTAAAGAAAAATATCTTTTTGATTTTGACTGAACTTTTGAACCTCTGGCCTCTGGTATGATACTAGAGCTTTCCTGACACATTCCCCACTGTATTTTAGAAATAGAGTAACAAAATTAACTGAGTTTATGAGTCACATGAAGTCATCGTCCTCAGATGTCATCATTAAACATGATGGTTCACCTCAGTGTTCTTTTCTTGGTGGATTCTGACTTGGGAAGGTCACCCTGGTGGGGTTACTGCACATCTGCACTGGGAAAGCGTTTCTAACAGAATCCTTTTCATGACCGCATCTTCCCATTCCTTATTGAGAGCTGCATTTATTTAGAGAATTACACTCAGATGGAGTTAAAGACAAGGGAAGGGGATGAAAACACATTCTGCCTAGAGCGTTTCTCAGCAATCATGTATGAAAGAGTGTACAGCTCCCTGGCATGCTCTCGTGTCCCCGGTTTGCCTATCACCAGCTGCTCTGCCTGCCAAGCTGTGGATAATATCATTTTCTATGTGTAAGAGATCAGACTGAATTAATCCTTCAGGGTGCAAGTGACGACAGCACTTTGTCTAACAGGAAATTTTTCAAGATGTAACATACATTTTTATAGTAGCTCAGGCTGGTGCTTTTCACATCTTTGGCTATCTTTGACATGCAGACAAGAATTAGTAAGATTCTGTGAGCTGCAAATAAGAGAAAACTCTAACAATAAAGAAATTTAAGATCTCAGAAAGAAGTCTAGAAATAAGACAGGTTTCAGGTTGGTTGATTCAGCATTCATGGGTGTCTGAAAAACCAGGTTTAGTTCATTCCTCCCTCCCTCTGCCTTTTGTGTCAGCCCCTTCTCACCTCTGACAACGAGATGTTTGCAACCCTTTCAGGTATCACATCCAGACCAAGGACGTCCAAAGGCAGGAAATGGGCTGTATATTCCAGGGTCTTCTTAGGAGTACGAAAACATTTCTTAGAAACCCCCTAGAAAGTCTCCTTTTACATTATATTGCCCAGAAGTGGATCACTTACCTAGAGAATCCATTGGCAAGGTGAATATTACCTTCGTCACTGGCTTAGACCAATCACCACTCACCTAGACTTGGGAAAAGGGTGAACTTACCCCATAGTAGTTGACAAATATGCACTCTGCCTTCTGAGAAGACCTTGAAATGGAGACAACCAAGCATAACTGCTACACTCACAAACAAGTCTGAGGAATATTTCAAAGAGATCTTAAAAGTTCTCTAAATCTCCAGATTGAAACCACAAAAGAAATTTTATATTTGAAAATAAAAATTCTGGCCTGCTTTTATGTATCTATGTCCAGTTACTGCTATGTGATGACTGTGTTTCATAAGTACCCAAAGGAATTTCAACATTTTCAGAGATACTATCACAAAACAAATACATGTCAATTAATAGTGAACTATGCCTCAGTAGCAAAGAAGCTAAATGCCTGTTATTTACAAAACCAAATTTGTTTCTCATAAAATTTCTGTGGCATACATATTAACCCATTTTTCATGTAGACAAATTAAGGCTTAGAGAAGATAAAGGCTTGAATGAACTCTTATGGCCAGTAGGAATCCAGATTTGATTTCTAGATATTTTGGAGATGTTCATTGAAGTGAGTTAACATAATCTGGGCTTCAAGTTTTTTTTGTAATATGCATGTTCAATGTTGCTAGTTACAGATGATTGGATGCAAGTGATCCATTTCCTCTTTACTGATGTGATACGGCTTGGCTGCGTCCCCACCCAAATCTCATCTTGAATTGTAGCTCCCACAATTCCCATGTGTTAGGGGAGGAACCCAGTGGGAGATCATTGAATCATGGGGATGGCTTCCCCATACTGTTCCTGTGGGAGTAAATAAGTCTCATGAGATCTGATGGTTTCATAAGGGGAAGCCCCTTTCACTTGATTCTCATTCTCTCTTGTCTGTCACCATGTAAGACGTGCCTTTCACCTTCCTCCATGATTGTGAGGCCTCCTCAGCCACATGAAACCGTGAGTTCATTAAACCTCCGTTTCTTGATAGATTACCTAGTCTTGGGTATGTCTTTATCAGCAGTGTGAATGGACTAATACATGATCCATATTCTTTTGTAGAAAGGGCTTAGTATGTACATATAAAATAAAAATCCTAATATTCACAATTTGCCTTTTTTGGAGATTGTGTTCACAAGTTCCACAAAAGGGCACATAGGATGTGCACAAAGCATTCCTCTTCATCTGTAGGTAGCATCATGATAGGTGTTTGTTAGTTACAGAGCATGTTTCCCCTGGGCAGCTTCAAGCACTCCTTAGAATTTACTCTGGTGAGTACTCTTATGATTAATACTACTATCCTTCCTTTTTGATACATGATAAACAAATGGACAAAACACAAATGTATTGAGTTCTTTGGTCTTTCACATTGCATTGCATGGGCTGGTGAACTGAAGGAAAAGTGAGATCATGGTCTTCATGGAGTAGGGAGCTGGTTGGGCTGGAATGAAAGCCAGCCCTCCGCCCTTATTGCCTGAGGCTTTGTTGGAGTTGCGGCTTCATCTGTCCATTTGAGATGGCTACACAAAGAAAGGGCCACCAAATCTACCCTTTGTGCCGTGATGGAGCTTAGCACCTTGTGGAAAATCCACACACCTGCAGCTCCATGGTTGAGACAAATGCGTGCTTTGGAGGAAGCAGCCCATTCGGCCAGTGCTACCCATGAGAACGTCTGTGCAGCCAGATGCTCAGGGGCGGTGAATGTAGTGGGGGCGGTTGGTGGGGATGCAGAGGCAGTCTCCCATGTGGCGGCTTCTAGATGGGGAGCTGTGGAGAGTGGCCCAGTGGCAGGGTCTGCAGCCAGGCAGACCCGTGTGTGGCTGGAGGAGAGAATCAGTAAAGCAGAAACAGGAGAGACTGCCGTCTGGACACCCTCCTGCTGCCTAGTACTCTACCAGCTGCGGGGACAGAGCCACTTTCTATCTCGATTTCTTAGCATAACAGACCCTTAGTAATCTCAATAATAGTAATCCTATCAGTCCTAATAACTAATGATGGGAACAACAGCCTTATTGATAGCCAAACACCAAACGGAATTACTTTACAAGCATGACCTCATTTTATGATCACAATCAGCCTGGGAATTAGGCCTTATTGTCCCTATTGTGTAGATGAAGAAACAGAACTTCTAAGAGGAGATGACACTGTTCAAGTTTGAGCAATCACTAAGTGATAAAGTCAAATGTTGCACCCGTCCACCTGATTCTCTAATTAAGGAATGGGAGTTCTAAATAACCACACAGACACTCAGTTGCCCTATAGATATGGTCTTTCAATAGCTTTGAGTGACTCCTTCTTTCTCAGTTATTATCTGAACATACAGAGCTCATTCATGCTGGCTGCCCATTTATGACATTTTTTCCCATTAGGGCTGACCTTGTTACAAAGAATAAGACAAACAGCCCATAAAATCCTCCTGTCCAAAACCACCTGGTTGAAGGCAGCATCGTGGGGTAGGCAGAAGGTGAGCAGTCTCTCCCACACCTGTGGTCGTCAGCGAGGCCAGCGTGGCTCCACACGGGTCCGTTGATGGCTCTCCTCCACTTCGTTACGTTTCACTGTGTCCACCACTCCCTACTCCGACTCTTGGAAACCCCCTCCTCCCCTGGGCTTCAGACGCCAGCAGAATTCCTGAGAGCTTGGCTTTGGTGTCAGACAGACTCAGTTCTGCTTCCCACCCATTCGGGGATGCTGTCTACCTTTACAGCGCTACGCCCAGTCTCCTCGCAGCAACGAGAGAAAACAGCAGGACTTGCTGCAGAGGTTTTTGTAAGGACTGGGTGGCGTGCTTGTCACAGTACCTGGTGAACCCTGCAGTGTAGGCAGCACTCACTCCTCCTGGCCTGGGGGCAGGGGGTAAGAACGAGGGTCACTGGTCAAAATGAGAAAGCAGGCATGTGGCCATCTGTGCCAGCGCCTCACGACCTCCTGCAGCAGAGGACCGTGGGAGTCATCATTCGTCCCTCGCCTCTGTTCTGAGATGGCAGGACCAGATGGCATCAAAGGAGCAGAGACCTGAGGGATGGCTGTCTGCCCCGTGCAGCCTGAGAGCTCCTATCTGGGCAGCCCCTGCACTAGCCACCTCCCAGGGGCATGTGGATCCTTCTAGTTAGTTCCTGCTCCCTGATATGACCTGGAGTGGTGTTTATTGTAGACATCCGTGTCTCTGTGTCTCCAGCCAGGCCTCCTGGGTGGCTGAGGCAGGGGAGATATTTATTCTCAATGACATCCATAGTAGGCATTCCGTAAACTTTCGTTGGACTGCTGAGTTATCTTTCAATCACTCTGTCCCTGTGAAGCCGTGTGAAAGGGAGAAACGTCAGAAGATTCTGCCTATTGTATTAATTCCTTCAAGGCAGGGATACACAAACTTTTTCTCTAAAGGGCCAGAGAGTAAATATTTGGGCTCTGTAGGCCATCCAGTCTCTGTCAGAACTCCTCAACTCTGCTGTTGCAGTGCAAAAGCAACCAGTTACACACATAAATGCGGCAGCACTGCTATGTTCCGGCAAAACTCAGTTTACACAAACACGGCTGGGCTGAGTAGGCACAAAGGCTGGAGTCTGCCTACTTCTGTTGGAAGAAGGGTTGGCACAGAGCTTTTAAACTCGGTGCCGTAAGAAAATTTCCATACCACGTGTCTTCCAAACTATGCCAACCCTGGGGGCGGGCTCCACATATCATTCATTCATTCATTCATTCATTCATTCATGTGCTGCATGATTCTGGGCTCTCCCATGGTCAAGCGCTTTCCCAAATGCAAAAAGAAACAACCCCGAAGCTAGAACTTCACGTTCCTAACTGGTCCTGAGAGGCGTGTCCCGAGAAACCTTTCTTTGTTCCTGATTTCTCTTTGGTTGATCCTCTGCCTTTTGAGTATTTCCTGAACCGACATCATCTGTATCTCAGCTCACTATAGCATGGCTTCACCTCGATGAGTCCACAGTGAGTCCCCTCACTGCAGCCTGGTCTCTGTTTTGGGGACATGCTTGGGGCTTTCTTGGGCAATGTTCCTGTGGGATTGTGCTAGAGCCAGCAGTGGGACCTTGAACCCTTCCCTGCTCCAACGGGCTGACCCTGGGGTCTGAGCTCCGGGGAAGAAGCGGATGCTAAGTGTGTTGGAACGTCCCTGCTCTCTCTCTGCTGAAATAGTACAGTGTGTGTAGGGTGTATTTATACACGTGTATCATTTCTAAAAATTATATTAAATTTTCAGAGAAAAATCCTTATTTAAACAATTGAAATGATGACATATGTAAGATCAGTAACTGTTTACACAAGAGTATAATTTTATTTATTTATTTTTGAGACAGAGTATCCCCCTGTTGCCCAGGCTGGAGTGCAGCGGCGTGATCTCGGCTTACTGTAACTTCCATCTCCCAGGTTCAAGCTGTTCTCCTGCCTCAGCCACACACCCCCGGCCCTCCCCAGCCTCGTGCCGCAGAATAGCTGGGATTACAGGAACCTGCCACCATGCCCAGCTAATTTTTGTATTTTTAGTGAAGACAGGGTTTCACCATGTTGGCCAGGCTGGTCTTGAACTCCTGACTTCAGGTCATCCACCCACCTCCACCTCCCGAAGTGCTGGGATTACAGGCCTAAGCCACAATGCCCGGCCCAAGAATATAATTTAAATAGACATACATGAACAATATTTTTTGATGAGCAATACAACTGGAATAGTGAGATCTAAAACATTTTTCAATACAGTTCCAGAATTTTGGTAAATATCACCAACAAAATGTATTTCTTCAATGGCACTGGTTTTTCTGTAAACATAAAATATCTCTTACTGTTTCCTGAGGACAAATATTTAGGCAAATAGATCTCCTTTAGATTGGCTAGAATTTTCATACACAGAGAAAAACTGAGAAAGACAGGTAACCAGTGGTGTGCTGGTAAATGTATAACGACCAGGTCTTCAGGGAAAAATGTGTGCATATATATGCACATAGTTTTATTATCAATCATCTACGTGTAAAGATATATTGTGCACAGTTTGCAATCATAGCATATATGATGATAAAACATATGCTTTATCACAAATGCTATTTTATCCTCGCAGAATGCTTTCGGTGATTTTGCTGAAATCTTGTTTCTGTAGCCGACCTAGTATTGCAGCTGATGTGCAGATGCGACTTTGACATGAGTGTTGGTTGATAATTTTCATAATACTAACAAGTAAGATGAAAAGGAAGCGACGAAGATGTATGTTGGAACGTCATTTGGTCTTCAGTGATGTGAGCGACTTCTTTGCTGAATTGGACAATGGGTTCTGAACAGAGGAAGTTCTGAACTCAAAACTCATGGCTTTCTCCATATTTTACTCACTTCGGCAATGTAATAGCAACCCACACAACACAGTTTTTGGTTTAATCTGCATGAGAAACGTTTTATTCTTCACTTTCATAAGTCTAAGCAATGCATGAAGTGATAAATAAAGCTCTGATCTGTGGCATTTGCTGATTTCCACCATGGCTAGTTACATCTGTGAATGAGACACCATGAGCTCAGAGCTGCAACAAGATACACAGTAGCTCGCTGTTAGACTGTGCTTCCACCATGTAGATACCAGAGACCCAGAACGTGCCGAAGTGAGTAAAATATGGAGAAAGCCATGAGTTTTGAGTTCTTACTACCTTTGCATTTAATATAAGTCATTAAGTTATAAGTCTATGTAATTTGACATTCAATAATGGCAGAGTTTCACAAAAGCTCACAACATTCCTGATGGTTTTAGCAGCTGCTTTTTTGGTAAGCCATTATGAGCTGATTCCAGCATATATTGTTCTTTGCCAAATATATATTTTTTACTGATGTTGCTGATTACTGAGCAGAATTACTGAGTTTGCTGAATGGCTCAAC